TCTGGAATTGTGCTGTATGTTGCGTGCCGGTGAAGACTGGTGGTCTGGCGCTGAAACCAGCCAGCAAGACACTTCGTATCGTTTCGTTCAACATAATTCGCAGCGTCCGCAAAGCATTCCAAATCTGAGCCATCCAGTAATCGTAGTAGAGATGATATTGGCCGTTATATACGATATCGGTATTCGTATCGGTATATATCGTTTCAAAAGCCCAGCCAGGCGGGGGATCGGAGCTTATCTTGAGGAGAACAGCGTCCAAATCAAGAGCTTGATTGAGGATCTTCCACGGGTCTGTGATTCGTTTGTGCACTATGTCTGATCGCAGAGTTGCGAAGCGCATCATGATTTCTTGGATCCTGAAAGATGGGTCTGGCGTTTCAACTATCCGAAGTGCTTCTTCCATATATTCTTGCATATGGATTGGTAGAGGAACAGCTCTATATATGCAGGTAATGAGTAGACTAGAGGTCACTGTGATCATCATCCGGCGACCGACAGGCGTCTGTATCTGTTCTGGGCCTCGGAGTTTGATGACTGCTGCTGCACCGTTGATATGCTGAGCCCAATCTCTGAGGGAGGATTGCTTGCTGCCTGTGATAGCTTCGAACTGTGGAGAAATCCAGGTCAGTGCTACCTCCATGGAAGAAGTTTACGAGCGTAATGAGTAGAGGAGGATTTGGACCTCAGATATTCTGGTATTGCCTAGTAGAAGAAGAAATATCACTCACGATGCCAAGAATCATTATGGAAAGAAGTGTGGTGTCCTTCTTGACATCAACTGGGTCTTTAAGAGCAGCATTTGTTGATTGTAGTGCTCGATAGTACTGGTAACGAGCATTTTTGAGCAGACTTGGAGCCTGCACAGAGTGTGCATAGCCAGCTAGACCGACAGCTCTCACTGGAAACTGGTCAGCATCACTTCCTATTCAAATCAAGAAAAATGAGGAGTAATTCGACGTGAGACAGAGCTTAGGAGATAGTTGGCAGTGCATGGGTGTTGAGACTTTAAGACTCGTACGGGAGAACACATACTGCTAGCAAGAAGACCGTCATCTAGTACTTGAGTTCGAGTCACATCAGTCAGGTAGTCAAGATACCCTCTCGAAGGGCCAGACATTCCAAGGACGAAGTTCGCAACAAAGAAACCAGTAGCCCGATCCTCGATAGTGGGGGCGAGAGAGAAGACAGACAGAGGCGCATCCACTCGCTGGATGATCTCAAGTGAGGAGTCCGAAACATCATCCCAGCCATCATCTGGTGGCGTTGAGGATCCGGACGAAGTTGATTGAGGTGGAGAGACTTTCAATGAGGCTGCCTTCTTGTCTCTAGCTTCTTTAGCCTTGAACTTTCGGATCACATTGTTACTCTCGTTGCGGAATATCAAGTCTCCAGGAGTTCGGTAGCCGGGACATTTGCGTTTGGCCCTTTTACACTGGGTACATCCCTCAGGTACTTGATCGCATTTAGTCTTCCGTTCCCGACAGGCGTGACAGCCACCACTGGGCTTGCCACAAAAAACCATGCTTCATAGGGCCGCCAGAGGATGGATATCGAGTACGATCTTGTCGTATGCGGGGATAAGGCTGATTGCCGTTTCGGCTTGGATGGTTGCAGGATTAGGCGTCGGGTATCATACAGAAAAGGAAATGGCTGACTAGAGACGTCCAGAGATCTACCTCATCATCATCCAGGAATGTATTCTGATCCCAATGTCATGTCCAAAGGGGGAACTTGAGAAGTTGACACAGATTCGATGCATGCGCGTCAACAGTGCTGTGCCGCTCGGCCCAGACCCCCGTCCATGGAGGAGGCACTAAACCAAATATGGGCCACCAGTTCGTTGCTTACTAATATGTCCACAACGTCTTCCTTTCTTGTATTCGCGTGAAGGCTCTCATTTCACATATCTGCGGGTCGAAGCAGATTCTGAATCTCTCAGCCTTGCTGCGCTTTCTAACTGAAAACAGCCATGCTGGCCGAACGGTCCTATGAGAGGACCTCTTTGGAGCTCAGCCGCTTAAAGGGTGGATATATTGTGGTCGATTGTGCATCATCGAGGAATCTTGCGTGAAGCTGGCTGAGGCTTTTCAGAATGTCGAGATTGCTACCTCCCAAATTTCCTTTTCCAGACAGCTTTCGCGGTCCAGTTGACGCAGAGGTATACGCAGCTCATGTTAGCAACTTTGCGTCCTTCGAACAATACATAAGTGTTCTACCCTCCACGATGATGGCTCTAATTCCATAATTGCTCCCTACTACATTTCCATCTCATTTGCTTTCATCACTTGCACTGCTTACTTGGCGCCTTTCTTCAATTCATATCATGGCGTTCTATATTTACAAAAAGTTCATCAAGAACAGGAACAAGAACGAGTCCCCAAGCAAAACAAAACCTAATCGTGCTTGCGGGCACCAGAGGATAGTTAGCAACATTTCGGATAGCTTTGTCGAACTCGGCGACTTCAGTCGGACTAGAAGAGGGACTACCAACGATATCTTGAATAATAGCGAAGGATCTCCAAAACACGAATGCCAGATCACCGATGGGCGAGACGGAATTCCACTGTCAGATGAATGCGTCGTCTGCAAGGAGAAGAAGAATGCGATGACAAAGTACCGATGGAAGCTTATGATAGGACTGTGCTTTCCTTTCATGGTTCAAGCTCTGGATACGACCCTCATAGCTGGTGCTGCAAGCTTCATTGCATCCGATTTTAGTAAGTTTCTAGATCTATCCATTAGATCTTCCATTCTTCGCCTGACTAACCTCTCACAGACCAGCTCTCACAGCTGAACTGGATCATCTCATCATACAATCTCACAAATGCGACCTTCATTCCAATATGGGGCCAATTCGCCGATGTCTTTGGACGTTATGCAGCCATCCAATCCTCTGCTATCTCAATGTTACTTGGCAGCGTCCTCTGCGCTGCAGCTCCCACTTCAGCATTTGCAATGTTCCTGGTCGGAAGAGCGCTCCAAGGCATTGGCTGTGCAGGTCTTCTCATCGTGACAAAAGTCATTCTAGCCGACAAAGTCAATTTGAAAGAGAATGCCGCAAACAATACAGTCTTCACCATCGTGGCCGGAATCGGATACAGTATTGGACCTGTCATAGGAGCTTATTTGACCGAGACTTCCTGGAGGTGGTGTTTCATAATCAACATTCCCATCGGTGTCATCGGTCTCGTGCTCGCACACTTCGTCCTCCGGCCAGAACTCCTTGGACCTCAGGAAGTTGCTCGCGCAGATGGTGTTCCCGATCCAGCACTCTCGCAGACTCTTGTAGCGAGACTATCTACGATCGACTTCGGCGGCCAATTTCTGTTTCTCTTTGGCATGGGCCTTTTCGTACTTGCTCTGACCTGGGCAGGATCTTATTACCCTTGGCAAGATGTCAGGATCCTTGCGCCACTTGTCATCGGTGTGGTTCTTCTGGTTGCTTTCGCAGCATGGGAGTATCTACTCCTCCCGGGCAATAAGCTCTCCAACCGGAGCCCTACAAAGAAAGCTATGATACCTATGAAATTGCTCACACGACGCAACGTCGGACTACTGATCTATGTCAACCTCGTCACGGGTATGGCAATGTATGCCGTCCTTTACTTCGTCGCTTTGTACTTCACTCTCATCAAAGAGTACTCAGCCGCAAAGTCTGGGACGAATATCGTCTACTACATGCCTGGCTTAGGTGGTAAGACATCTTTCTCTTCAAAGCTCACTCTCTGTTCAATCAATCCAAGCTAACAACCATGTTCCAGGCGGAGCCTACCTCGCCATGTTCGCCATGAACAAATGGCCCTGCGCAACCGCTCCTCCCCTCCTCCTCGGCACAATCCTCGAACCCCTCGGAATAACCGTTCTCGCCTCAGCCCTCAACACTGGCAACCTTCACCTCATTTTCGGCATGCTCGCCCTCACCGGTGTCGGCACCGGAATCCGCCTCATGCCCGGCACCCTCCACGGCATCGGTTACTTCCCCTCCCAAATCTCACACGTGGTCTCCCTCATGGCATTAGCCAACACACTCGGTGGCACACTCGCTACGACCATCATGCTGAACATCTTCAATAGCACGTTGCAGAACCATGGTATCGATTTCAGCTCTTCGAGTAGTGAAAGTATTTCTGCGATTCAGGAGCTAGCGCCGGAGCAGGTGGCATTCTTCAAAGAGATTGCAACGAGAGGGATGGTGTTGGCGTTTTATGCGATTACGGCGTTTATGTGGTTGGGTGTGGTGGCTTGTTTTGGGATGGGAAATGTGTGGATCGTGGGTGAGGAGCATAGGACTATTGAGGGGAGCTGGGTTGGGTATCTCTTCGCGAAGAGGAGAGCAAAGGACGAAGAGAAGAGTGCTGATGGTACGGCTTGAGCGGTGATTGGGTTGGTCACGTTGTGTCTTGATACCCAGGTGGAGGAAGAAGCAAAGCAGGCGTCTCATAGATCTTCACTTTCTCATTTTATAGACTGAGCTAGCCATACGAGAACAATAGACTGTTGAATTGATTCTCTCTGCTTATACAGGAACTCAAGAATTCCAGAATGCTGCTCCCCTCTGGAAATTCAGGGGCCCGCTAACTAAACAAACCAAGATATAGCGTCTAAGGGAGCACCTCATGGAGGGTCCAGGGCCAACATCACTGTATTTACAGGGCCTTCCACTAAGCGAATGAGCCCCTTCCTTTCACAAACAAACAGCAAATAAGTGTTCATTCCATCACGCCTCCTACACGTCGTCACATCTGTTACTTAGAGTGAGAGGTAACACAGAAGTCTCATGCTTTATGTGAATCAACTCCATTCCTAAAGATCCCCCACAAAACTCTACCAAAATCCGCCTTGCCCTAACTAGGTACCTTATCCACAACGCAACCACCAACCGAACTCTGCCCCTCCTCTCCCCTCAACTCCCCTCCCCACAACACAGAAAATTTGCGACCTACTAATCCATAGACAAATATCATTAGCACACTTTTCCCTTCATCGAATTTCCAATCCCAGCGGCTTTAGCTCACTTGGGAGAGCGCCAGACTGAAGATCCTTGATCTAAACTTCAGGAACTCATACGTATTGAAAATCTGGAGGCACTGTGTTCGATCCACAGAAGCCGCATGCTTACATACATATCCTTATGTGATGTGAATATATATATCTGCGAATCGAGGAATTACCTTGATTATCATCTGAACACTTTCCTTTTTGCTAGACTTTGTCTCCGACTTCCTCTTCCTGGTTCAGAGATTTTTCTTTTCTTTTTTTGCGCTTCGGGAAATGTTGTGGAGTTGGAGAGCGATATGGGTCTCGGGAACGCGCAAGGAGATTGATTGCCCATTTGATTTCAGTGATTGGGACGGAATGGAGAGAAGCAGTACTCTTAGTCAGAGAGCAGATTCTCTGATTCGTTAAAATTGTAGAAGGGATATTAGAATTCATTCAATCCGATGGCGAAAAACAATGTAGGTTGTTTGAGGAGGCTTTCATTGTTCTGCGTGTTTGCTTGCTATGCTAGGTATCTCATCACCCCCTTTCCAATCCCATCTCCCCAGTCCACCCACCACCACCTGCAAGCCAAACAAGCCACCTCGCCCTCTCACTCTGGTTAGACCAGCAGCGAGAGACCAAGTCCTCAAACCCAGGTCATTGACCAGTAAAATTCATCGCAGAGATAAAAAGCATATCGATCAAGCCTCTGTGAAAGCGATCGTTCCACCACAACCCATGCCGCACGGCCAATCAATAGATTACCATCCGTGCCATACCAGCCCATCCCATTCCAAATGCAGTGCAGTGAAGAGCAGTCCCAAGCCAAGCCGGGCCTCAGCCCAAAGCAAAGAATCGAAGAGACCTCACACGCGAGGAATATGCAGAAAACAAGTGACAAAGGTCATGAGGCAATCTGGCCCAAGATGATATCTCTTCTTTCCCATTCCCAAGTTCCTCAAAACGCCAGTTCATATCATTGATCGATTGATGCGAAAGTGATCCACCCTAGGAGAAGTAAAGACCGAACCTTGAATCAAAGTTCCTCTCAAACTGAAGGTAGTCACCAATCCCAACCCCAAAATGAAGACTTTAAGTCCGGATATCATAGAACAATTGTCGGTTCCGGACCACTAAGCAAGAATAAAAGGGAGAAAGACGCGATAACAGAGTTCCCAGCTCTTTCGAATGACGTAGAAGAAGTCAACCCTCGCTGAAGAAACGAAGCAGTGAAACAAAGGTAGACATAAAGCAGCGCAGCTGTCCCGATAAAACCAAAGGATCCTGTCCGCCCGCCCCAGAATCGAAGGTGTTGAAAAACAAAAGAAAGCCTAATGAGTGGAAGTGGTTTGATGCAGCCATCCGAAGTTGGTGTTCGGCTGATGTATGGAGAATATGCTCTCCGTATGCAAATGAAGTCCGAAGAATGCTGAGCGCAGCGCGAGCCACTTTTGTGTTTCCTCCCTTGTATATATGATGATGATTCCCGTAGAATATGCTGTGTCCGGTGTGATTCCCAATTCTCTGTTCTGTCTGATTGCGCCTGTGAAAATGATGAAAATCCGGGATTCGAAAGATCCTGAGCGCTCGCTTGCTGATGAATGATGACGGGATCCAAGAAAACTTTTGTATACATGTCGCGGCCGACGATTTGATGAAATACATGAATAATGGTTGTACATAGAATCGAAGTGTGAATTTCGTTGAGATGATTATTAGTGATCACTCTCGAAGGATGCCTTTGGAGACATAGGTGTGTTTCGGTGCCAGGGACGGCTGAGACCCTTCAGCCCCTTAGCAGTGGCTTCAGGGCTGTCAACATAGATGCTGGTAGGCGTGTCGATTTTGATACGGCAGAAAAGTGTGGAGAACAGGAACTGGTCGCCGTTAATGTCGTGAAGAGGTAGTGTGCGATAGCCTTCTTTGAGACTGCTTAGTTTGGCCGTGTAGGTGGCAAGCGGACTCCCCTTGTCACTATATGTGCTGCCATCAGAGGAGCATCTGACAGTCCATCGAACGAAGACCAGATCGGGGTATTTCGTCGTCAGAGCGAAGTTGAACTTTTCTTGGAAGATGGGATTGAAACCATTCTCTTGGACGATCTTGGTTCGTCTTCGGTGAGGTGCTCCGAGTCCGGACGAGCCGTCTTTAGCAGAAGCATCAAGTCCACCTTCTCCAACCACGCCTTTGTTGTCCTTGGTCTTGTCGTCTGCATGATAAACCTCGACTTCAATGTAAGGATCTACGCTTCGATTGGAGGCAAGGCCCTTAGGTCGCATAAGCTGCTGTGCTGAGACGATGTCGATGGAGAAGCTGACATTTTTCCGCTCTCGCTTGGCGTGGCCGGCGCCAGCCTCTTCTGGAACGTTTGGCAACATCTTGATTTCTCGAAGCTCGCTTGGCTTGAGCACGTATCCTGACTGATCGGTACCGGCAGCAAACATCGCATCGTTGATTTGCATGCCAAGATCGTACGTCTGCCAATTCAAAGCAACCATCTGCACGCTCCTACGCCAATACTTCAGGGGGTCGAAGTTTGTTGATGCGACTCGCCAACCGTTTGGGTAAACTCGAAGCATGTAGCGCATGTTATGACGTGTGATGATGCGTTTCTCTTCTTGCGTCGTGGCATTCTTGTCAAATGTGCTCTCAGAAAACGAGAAGATGTGGTTGTAGGACTTGCTCTCTGGCGTGTCAAAGCCGTGAAACTTCAATCCAGCACTGTAGACACCAAGTTCACCAAGAACTCTGATGATGTTGCTGGTCTTATTGGCCCGACGGCTTTGATTAGCACGGGAGACATCATCTGTCAGGCTCTCGCTGTCACTGGTGCTGCTACTCAGGCTATCTTGACCTTCGCTTCCGGAGTATTTGAGTTGGCTGGGGCAGGCAGCCTTGGTCTTACGCGAGTATGCGCTGGGCGGCAAAAGACCGGCTGAAATGGGACCATTGTCGAGTTGCACAGGCCGGATGTATGGAGAACTGAGACTATTGCCACGATTCCGTCCACCGATCTGCTCTGCCAAAATAGGAACTTCAGCGCGTGGCTTCTTAACTTTGATCAAGATTCGATTCATCAGTTGCGACGGGGTTGGAAGTTGCTCCATAGAAGGGTCGATCGGTTGAGTAACGAGCTTTGAGCCACAGGTCTCCTTAATGATATCGGCCATCATTGCTTGTTGCTGTTCATTGCAGTGAACCTCGAGCGAAATCCAGAGTGGGTACTGTGACTTGACGAAGGCGTACTTGCTGATGGTGGACATGACATCGGCGAAGGAGACATGAGTTGTGAGGGTGCGACCATGCATGACCACTGGACCTTCGCTACCATTCCAGCAATCGACTTCAACACATCTGCAGCCTCGGTTCAAGGCGGAGATGTATGCCTCTACGCTTGACTGGCCAGCGACCTGGCGACCTAACAGGTAGGTGTTGTGAGAACTTGAGATGTAGTACTCATTCATTGGACGATCCATGGAGTACTGCGGAGGTGGGCTCTTCAATGGTACGTTGAATGTCGAGATCAAGTAGCTGCTGAGACCTGCTTCGGACATTCGTTGAGGTTCACCATCAGCAGCATCTTGCAATGCTTGCTCCTTGGACTTCGACCGGCGGATGACTTTGTTGAAGACATTCTCCCAATAAGCTGCATCACTCACATCCTCATGCTGGACTTGGGCGAGAAAAGTGAAGAACTCGAGCAGAGTCAGGCCTTTCTTCAGATCGGAAGCAATGTTCTCATATATGTTCTTGACATCTTCACGTCTCTTCATGAGCTTGACGAAGTCTTGGAACTCGACAAAATTTAAGCGACCCGAACGAGAAACATCGGCTTGCTCAAACTTGGACTTCAGGTAGTTGGAGGAACCATGGATGTGGAGCGAACGACAAAGTCGCTCAACACCAATGAAATCGATCAATTCCTCATCTTCAGTATGAGGCTTTTCCTGGAACTGCCGCTTCATTTCACTATGCCAGTAAGCACGAACAGCCTTGTCGTGGAAGGATGAGAGCGATGCCATGAGATCTTGTCGGTGCTTCGAGATCGCATCAAGTGTTGTTGTCCACAGATCGAAGGTTTCCGCGTCGGTTGCGATGAGGTGCATGGTCTTTTGCTGCGAACGACCCTTGTTCTTGTCCGGTACTGCGTACACGATGGAGAAAAACCTTGACTCATCGGCATCCGATACTCCAAATTCCCTGCGATAGTTTCGAGCATTGGTCCCAACTCTGATCTCCTTAATATCGTCGATATAGAGAGATTTGGAAGGTCGATTCTTATCCCATGATACCTTGGCAGCTTCCTTCTCGAGAACAAGAGTCAAGAGCTTCGTCCTATTCTTCTTGGTGACCTTTGTCATGACAGTGCCTTGAAGGAGTAAGGAGGGCACGACAGGGCCAGGGCCGGGACTCGAGGTGCTCGGAGCGGTCGAAGATCCTATGGAAGCAGTTGTACTTGGGAAGTCCCTACTCTCATAAGTGTCTGTGGTCTCTTCGCGCATGTCTCCACTGAGCTCATCATCTGAGTCGAACAGGGCTGGCTTGCCACCGTCTGGAGCTGTATTGGTGCTGTCACTCCTCCTTCGCATGATGACTGGTCCTGTGCTGTGATCCCTACTCATGGCCTGAGTTGACGATTGACGCCTACGGCCAGCAAATTGTGAAGCTCTGTTCGATAACCGCCTAATCAAGTTCGGGGACTTGCTCATAGCCTCGCTCATGGCACTCTGACTTGTTTTCCTTGACACTATCGATTCTGGGAGCTCGAAAGGAGGGAGTGCAAAGTCGGTTTCACGGCCTCGCATACCTTCGGGGGATCCTTGTATCGAGGAGTTATTCGTAATGATCTGCGTTGTCTCGGGAGACATGATGGGCGAGGTTTGGAGGGAGCTCGAGGTAGTTACTGACGAGGTACTTATGGCAGAGGCGGGTACGGACGTTGCGGAGGAGTTAATTGAAGATTGATTTTGTTGAAAGTTGGTTTGGACATGACTTGGTTTGGTATATCTAGACGGCGAGGGTTTTGCAGACTGCGCGATCTTGGTTGTGGAGGAGTTTGGTGGTTGGACTTCGAAGCTTTCTGTTGCGGCCAGAGGCAGGAGGGAGTGACTTTCTGGACCCGGCATTGCGAC